AACAAAGTAAATTATGAGTTGAACATCAAATAAACAATTTGGCATTTTGCAATAATGATGATCTGGCACCTTAAGCGTATCAAAGAATCTGGTAGAAACTTTGATTTCTATGGTCTTCCATATATGGTCACGATCGATTAACTAAAACAATAGACTGGWGTAAACCGCGCGAGATTCAAAATTACAGCGAAACAAAAGAGATTCATTAATATGCGGATTTGAGCTGAATCTCGAACTGGACTCATTTGACCATGAAGTGCTCGGAAATACTTCGTGTAAAACTTACTGAGGGAGGGGGTGGGAGATTCATGTTTGTTAGTGAAACATACACCATTTTGTTCATGCTAACCCATCGAAACATTGAAATCAAAAACAATCTACCCGTAAATGCTAAAAAATTGGAAAAAGTCTAAGAGCGAAGAAGACACAACACGTCGGATTAAAATCATTCGTTATCAATACAGTGCACTACGATGCAGAGGCTTGCTCTATAACGAAAATATATAGTTTCAACATCCTACATTCTGAAATATAAACGATATGGTATTAATAAAGTAAGAGTCAAGTTCTTGAGACTCAAGTTAAATAGTGCCTATCAACATCTATACAGTTCAGCACAACGGGAGCTGTTAACCGACTGTTGTCAAGACGACGGACTCGTTCGATGAAACGTTAACGGATYGAGCCTGATTGTAGGACATATAGGATTACTATGTTTATTAATCCACTCATTTCTTTATAGCATTCTATAAACATACTATTCCTTATTGATATCTGTCTGTAAAACAAACTACTGCTCTCGTGAGAATCCTTAACAAGTGTTTACATGCACGTGCCGTAGTTACACTGCAGTATGTTGACTGAAATGGACAGCGAACAATAGGGGATTCTTTGATACGAATTACAGCATTTTGCAGTAGCTGAGTTTAATATTTCTTGACTTTAATATGTATACAYATTTTGAAATCTACTTACTCCATCTGCCATGACAAAATGGCAACCTTGCCCATCTGTGGACTCCATWACAAAGTTCTTAAAAGCTTCTAAGTTATCTTCTTTGAAAATATCCCCATCTCCATCTCTTCCTCCAACACCTACACCAAAACCGTGAAAGCTTTAGAACATCAACATCCACAACCTTATAAAACATAAACCTTTAAACAGAAATGTAAGAGAGTACAAAGGCTGTTATCAGTCATTATAAAATAACTTTCATATTACGTGCGCTCTGATTGGCCAAAAAGCTGTGTTTGACAAGAGCATAATAAACGCTCGCGTCATTTTTTTTCTCAGCTTTTTTTCCTCATGAATATTTGAGCGCTTGTTATTTCATAAAAGCAATAAAAAACAGTTTTCCGTGTATTATTTAAGGAATAAAAGACGAAATTCCGTGTTTGATACTCTGATCAAAACACGCGGGATGTAGGGAGAGCACGAGAGAAGCGTAGGAAACCACGACGCGTAGCGGAGTGGTTTCCAGCTCTTCGAGTGCTCTCCCTACATTCCAAGTGTTTTGATCAGAGTATCAAACACGGAATTTTGTCTTTTATTTCTTTTCTAAAATTAAAAGAAAAAAAGAAATTTTTGACGCGCGCGAGCGTGTTTTGATACTGTAATCAAACATGGTTTTCGACCAATCACAGCGTGCGTAGTACCCTAAATATTTTAGAAACTCTGATAAAAAACACTTGGGATGTGGAGAGAACACTCGAGAAGCTGGAAACCACTCCGCTTCGCATTGTGGTTTCCTACACTTCTCTCATGTTCTCCCCACATCCAAAATGTTTTTATGTATAGTTTAAAACACGAGAGAGAGAGAGTGTTTTATCAGGTATAAAGATTCGAGCCGAAGGCAAATAGAACCGCTCTTGGCTGTAACGGTTGACATCCTGCATTGGTCAATGATCAGGTTTCAAACCTGAGACCTTTGCTAGTGTCATGGACCTTTATATCTGATAAAGGTCACCATTATTAGTATTCTTTATATAAAGAATACTAATAAGGAGTGTTTATCAGATATAAAGGTCCATGCATGTGACCAAATAGGCTCATTCTATTGGCCTAGTAGCTCATTAATTATGTATGAGTTTTTGAACAAAGTATAATACACAGAAAACTGTTTTATTCCTTCATGACAACAACATTGCCATTAATATCAGCATCAACATTAGACCAGACACTACAATCACAACACTATAGTTGCGACAATTTGTTAAAGATTCTCTTACTCCTCAGGGTAATACAAAAAACACTTCTAGTTTCAAGATCTTATTTGTGCAGCCTTAACCTCAAAAGCCTGTAATATATTCTTTTATTTAGTGGAGATCCTTTTGTAATGCAAGATTTATGCTTGATTGAATCTAAGCTTGTACAAAAGAGAATTCAAAACTGGAAAATCCAATATTAGGGAATTTGATATTGAAGTGTAGTAAATCATAGATGTTAAATACAATTACATGCATKTGTATGAGTGTGAAAAAATAAGTGAGAAAAAATGCAGTCCATACCATAATGAGGTTCAAATGTTTCTGGAGTCCCAGCAAGAAAACTGTCCAGTTTAAAATCACAGTCTCCTAATAATTAATAAGAAGAGAAAGAAAACATGTAACATATCAATTCAAAGTCTGGAAGATTATAATGCATAATGAAATTTATATTCCACTTCATAAACCTCATCGAAAAGCATTTATCATTAATATTACAATGATACAGTCATGTAGTTTATTCAGCTCTCTTGTAGTAAAAATACTAAATTAGCAAACTGAAGAGATATAAAAATTGATACTTACAGTATTAAAATAGAGCTACATATACAGCCTTTTGCAAAAATTATGAGAATTGTCTAAATAACTAAATATCATAATTTCATATCCATATATTGTCCGGAACACGCGGGTTTGCTAGAATAATTCATTGTTGACATCGAGAAAAAATCGCGGAAAAATTCGAATGTAGTTGCTTGAAAAATAAAAAAAAAAGCTTGTATTCACAGAGCTAACATCTTTGAATATTGGAAAATGTCGCCAATGTCAGTAAATTTGTTAATGTCGGTAGTCAGGAAATTTTGTTCAAATTTGTCGCTAGTCAGTAGTTATTTTGTCCATTTGTCGCTAGTCGGTTAACCCCATTCAGACCCTGAAAAAAAACTAAACTGCTAAGGCAAGGGACTAAGGGCATCGCGCGGGATTACCCATCATGCACTCGATATTATGATCTTTAGATATTTCGACAATTCTCATAATTTTTGCAAAAGGCTGTATGTATACATGTATAAAAATATTAATATCATATTCATATCATGTTAGAGAAATATCAAATATAATTGTCTTTTTTTGCAATTGTGGATCTTTTTGCAATGTCAAGATTTTGTTGGTGAAAAAGTCTTGATAGTTTTTTTCTAGTTCRTTTCAACAAACATGTTGCTCGCCTCTTACCGCAAAAAAATATCAATTTTTCAGCCATGTAGCCAAAGACTCACAACCTGTAATTACAATAACTATATCCACAAACTGCTCTCAAGGGGCTTGGATATCACAGTCTGTGAACTGAGTCAAACTATGAGAGAYCGTACTGAGTAGGATGCTATTGTTGCCGACATCCCGACCTTGAATGTGGAATGATGATGATGACACGTTATTAATGGCATCACTATACATGACTAAATGCTTATAATTGTATCAACTAAATGTAGTACTGTACCCTTTAATGTGAATCCAAAACCTTTACTTTTCCATTTCTTTCGCCATAACACATACTCAGAGAATCCTCCAGGACCTGCACAGATGTCAGCAAAGTACAACAACTCATTGGGACCTACAACATCTGCCTAACATCAAGATATAATAGTTGGAAATCAGTCTTTGGACATCTAATATGTTTTGTTTATGGAACTTCACCATGACAGATGAAACACATATTATTAAATACAAGGGATATTTTAAAGCATAAATTAAAATTAATAATTATATCATTTCMTGATCTGTAAGATGTGAAAATTGCACTTTCAAAACCTTGAAACTTGGAGTTTAAGCTTAACAACTGATTTCCCCATTATAAATATCTAATAATATTAGAATATTATTCTCTATACTTGTTGAGAATTTTTTAATTGTCCTTAACCAATCAGAATGCTTGAATTGGAAGAAACTTGCACATTCTTTTTTTCTGCATTGTTTTTCTTTAAAACATTTTTTAGTGTATATCATTAGAAAACAAATATTCAGGACAAATAATTTAATGTATTCTATTTCTTTATGGTACAAACTACAAACTGCATCATTGTGATCAACCAAACACAATGAATTACCAGAAATGTTTATAACTGGACTGTCATATACTGTTTGGATAATTTGTTGTTTGCCAGACTGAGTATGCTTTTTCTCATACAGTGAACCTCATTAACATTGTTCAGTTTATATAAAAGACAACAACAGCATTTTGCATATGGTATAATCTGGAGTTTTGAGTTAATTTGCTTCCTGGGTATTTTAAAAACCTTTAAACCAAAAGACGATGTTGTTGTCTTTACATGTATGTAATTAAATGAACAATGTTAATGGCAATGACTGCATAAGCTTGTTTCTTGTTCAATAGCAGAATAGAAATAGAATATCAACTCCTTGCAATATAATTAACAATTAGAGCATAGCACAAAGCCATGTAAGCAATATTACAATTTCAGTGATAATACAGTTTTTGTCATACTGACCCCATCTTTTGTTTTAGGACTAGTAAACATAAAATCAAAAGCAGAATCTATGTTAGCCATTTTAACTGCTGCTCTAAAAGAAAGAAAAGAAATTCATCAAAATTCTATCAAATTAAGCTGAGCTTTTTTTGCATTTTTCCACTTTCTGTGAACTCAAGCCATCAAAATGCCAATCGCCATTTGGTGCTTTTGCTGCAATCAATTAAAATTCTTCTGAGAATCTTTCCACAAAAACAAACAACCTCTAATTGGCAAACCTGGTTCACATACTGATTAAGTAACCAAAATTGCAGAAATTTTATGTTTTATTGTTGTGGAGTTTGTTTTACTGCACAAGAAGAATGTCTTACTTGTACACAATTATTAGTGCTGATAACTGGTTGTAGTCGCTGGGATGTAGTCACAACCAAAGTCTGGATATCRAGTGGTCTAATCATGCAAGTAGTYATGCRAGTCGCCATTCGGTCAGTTCTTCACATCATTTACGTAGTCGAAGTCCTGTTGTATAGGAGCAGTCCAACAAACAGAGGAGATCCTAGAATTCATCACAAGATACCCCAATTGGGAAAAGAAGCTTTTAGATCAGCAACATGAGTACAGGCTTCAGATAGAGAAACTGAAAGTYGAGATTGATGCCAAGTCAAAAAAGGCAGGAAAACTTGACGAATCGACGCCTGAATTCAAGTTTGAAGGTAACAAGAAACAGTACAATTTGAACAAAAAAGTTCTAGAAAAGATCTCTGCCACAAAGGAGACCAGCGACGACAAATTAGAGGAGGAATTTCTAGCTGAAGGTGAGAAAATGCTTGTTGAACGGAATAAACACATATGTATCTATTGGAAAACGATTGACAGGGATGATTAATCGTGACACTGGGACTTGTTTTCACTGCTTTTGATCGGGACACATTGCTCGAGACTGTTGAGCACCTAACAACACCTCTGTACAAAGCCAGTCAGCTGGGCATACAACAAGCACTTAAGGAAATTGATGACTTAAAACACTGTTGTTTGTTAGAGTTAAATGACATTGAGTTTGATGCGGCCATTAACATCAGGCAGGTTGAAAGCGAACAGTTCATTTTGGAAAAGCATTGGAGCTTGTAAGTTGGTCCTGGAAGTACTTGAGAGAGGATACTATTTGCCATTTACATCAATTCCAGAACAAACAATGTTCAAAAACCACCCAAGTACAATTGAAAACCACAATTTTGTTTGTAAGGAAATAAAGAAGCTTGTTGCATCAGGTGCACTATTGGAGGCTAGTTCCAAGGATGTGTTATTAATCTATTGGGAGTTGTGCGGAACTCTAATGGCAAGTTGAGGTTAATCTTAGACCTACGTCATGTGAACAGTTACTTGAGATCTTGCAGATTCAAATACGAGGGTATCCAGATTGCTGCTGAACTGTTTCAAAGTAATGACTGGGTTTTTAAATTTGACTATAAGAGTGTTTATCACCATGAWTTTCTGTTGGCCGGTAAAATGAGATATTTTAAATTCTCAGTTTTACCATTTGATTTAGCTACAGGACCTTATGTCTTTAYGAGAATTCAAGAAACACTAGTCAAATATTGGAGATCCAAGGGTTACCGTATCTTTACATATCTGGATGATGGTGCAGGAGCTGAACAGGATTATGATGATGCATGTAAGATGGCAGAATCTGTAAGGATGGACATCAAGTCCAGCAGTTTCATAGTCAATGAGGAGAAAAGTCAGTGGAAGCCAACACAATCTGTGGAACTTTTAGGATTCATTATGGACCTTAAAGATGGTATATTCAAAGTACCACAACATAGAGTGGATGCATTACGCCGAATTATTGACATTGTTATAGAGGAAAACTACTATGTATCTGCAAGAATGCTAGCGAGAGTTGCAGGATCAATGGTATCTATGATGTTGGCCATGGGCCCAGTTGTGTGCTTGTGGAGAAGAGCGATGTTACTGACATTTGCCAAGTCTTGTCGTGGGACAAACGGATAACTCTGTCCTCAAGAAGTCAAATGGAAAGAGAACTTAGACACTAAGGGTTATCCTATATGGACTCCTTGCCCAAAGATAGAAGTGACAACTTATTCTGATGCTAGTGGTCAAGGCTGGGGAGGATTCTTAGTTAATATCAATGGCGAAGCAGCAGTGGGTAGCTGGTCAGATGACGAAAAGACAAAAAGTTCTACATTTTGAGAGCTAAGAGCAATACAGCTTGTTTTGGAATCTTATGGTAAAGATCTTCAAGGTAAATCAGTCTGTAACAGAACTGACAATAAGAATGCCAAAATTATTATGTCTGTCGGAAGTAGAGTTCCTGAGCTCCAGTTGGAGGCAGTGGCTGTCTACAAGCTGTGTAGAGAGCTAAATATTTGCCTGTCTGTGGAATGGTTGAGTAGAGATGATAATGTAAAAGCAGATGAGCTGTCCAGAATTGAAGATACGAATGACTATATGCTTGATCAGAACTGTTTTAAGCTGATTGATAAGAAATGGGGACCACACACTCTTGACAGATTTGCTAGCATAAAGACGAGGCAACTTGACAGAYATTGCAGCCTCTACCACAACCCAGGATGTGAAGCAGTCGATGACATTCATTGTGTACTGGTCACAAGAAAACAACTGGATTTTTCCACCACCATTGCTAGTTGCAAGGGTTMTTAGACAGATGTCCTTTGGCAAAGAGGATGGTACATTGATTGTCCCTGAATGGCCCTCTGCAGTTTGGTGGCCCCTTTTAATCAACAAATCTGGCCCTTGGAAAAGCTTCATAAAGAATAGTAAACGAATTAAACCATAACGTGGAATCTTCATATCAGGGTCTGCTGCAAGTAGTATCTTCAMATCTGATATCCCTTCTTTTGCTGTTCTGGCACTGAGGATTTGTTTTAGTGACCAGTAAGGTATTCTGACACCTGCTGTTATCAGGTAAAAAGGTTGTCAGTCTTTATTGTTGAACTATGCTGTTATGGCATGTTATGTAGTCTGTTACAGAAAGTTTTTGCCATAACAGCATGGTATCCTAACTATAACCGCATGTAATTACATGCGGTTATAGTTAGGATACCATGCTGTTATGGCAAAGGTATTAAACTGTTATGGCAAGTGCATAGCTGTTATGGCATTACGCACTAGTTGCATGTTAAACTATTTATGTTATTTTGACCCATTATGCTGTGTGGGCTATTGGATTATTGCGTACAAGTTTTGCTGAGTACTGCAAGTTGTCATGCTGTTAGGGCATGGTGAATTTGCATGCAAGTGGTATAGCTGGGATTATGTCTATCTCTTAGCAGTTGTACTGAACTAATGGTGTCTGTACATTGATGTTCCAGTACCAGTGGACATTAAGGAGCTGTATACRGGTGAGGTTGACCATCAAATGTTACAACAACTGGCAAGGTTACTTCCTGCTATTATAATAATTCGTGACAGAGCTTCAAAGACCATCCACATGTATCTTAGAGCATTTAAAGCACGGAGGATTTGGGTTGAGATGTTCCAAGAATCACCTCTACCTGTAAAGCCCAAGATRTTCGGCCTTTATGTAACTTTTTTATTAAGAACACTAGTTTGTTAATTGTGTACAAGAAGAATGTCTTACTTGTACACAATTATTAGTGCTGATAACTGGTTGTAGTGGCTGGGATGTGTTTGCATGATTTAAGGTATGCATAGCAAGTTTAATTCATGACATTACTTGGATTATTCYTGTCAGCTATTTAAAATTTCTTCCTCACTTCATGTCCAGGCTCAATGAAAAAGGAGTGAAGAATTAGTCTTGTACATTTTTGTATGCTTAAAGCCATGCATTGTGAAGCCTTCTAAAAGCTGCTATCATTTAAAAGCCTTTATRTAATAAGCTATTGAACTAGTTATGCATATGGTTAGCTTTGTTACCAATTATACTCAAACGTGATAA